CAAATCTTTACTATAAATTTTGTTTCCGAACTCTTTTAGGACTAAAGTGCCTAGGGAGGTGTGTTATATAATCAGATAAAAATGAAGGAGGAAGACAAGCTCAAGACTACATTCATCACTCAATGGGGTACCTTTTGCTACAAAGTTATGCCTTTTGGACTCACAAATGCCGGGGCAACATACCAATGCTCCGTGATTACTCTATTACATGACTTTGTGCATACCATTGTTGAGCTATATGTTGATGACATGGTGATTATGTCCAAAGAGGAGGTGCTACACACAGAAAATCTTAAGAAGGTGTTTGAACGCCTTAGAAGATACAAAATGAGACTCAATCTTGCCAAATGTACTTTCGATGTGGATTCGGGAAAGCTACTTGGCTTCATTGTGAGCCGCTGAGGAATAGAGATTGATCCAGCCAAAATAAAAGCCATCGATGACATGCCACCACCAAAAAACCAAAAAGAAGTTCGAAGTTTCTTGGGTAGAATTAATTACATTGCCCGTTTCATTGCCAACCTCACCACCATTTGTGAGCCTATCTTCAAACTCCTCAGAAAAGACAACCCTCATACCTGGAATGACCAATGCCAACAAGCCTTTGACAAAATCAAAGAATACCTCAAAAACCCACCAATCCTCGTGCCTCCAATTGATAAAAGGCCCTTCATCCTATATATCACTGTCCTTGAAAACCCATGGGAGCTGTCCTTGTTCAACATGATGACTCAGGCAAGAAAGAGAGAGCCATCTATTATGTGAGCAAGAAGTTCAATGATTGTGAGAGTAAATACTCACCCTTAGAAAAAACTTGTTGTGCCTTAGCCTGGACATCCAAGAAACTTCGCCACTACATGTTAACCAATACCACTTACCTACTTTCAAGAATGGATCCCATAAAATTCATTTTTGAAAAACCTACCCTTTCTGGAAGAATCTCTCGGTGGCATATGTTGCTTTTCGAATTTGATATTGTTTACACCACACAAAAGGCCATAAAATGGCAAGCCATTGCAGATCATCTAGCCGAACATGCGGCAGAGGATTATGAGCCTATTGATTGGGATTTTCCTGATGAGGACATTTTGGCATTGGAGGCAGAATCTGATTCAGATAATTGGAAGCTCTTCTTTGATGGAGCTGTTAACCAGCTTGGTTGTGGCCTTGGAGCCGTGTTGGTATCCCCAAAGGGAGATCATTTTCCTATTGCTATAAAGCTTGATTTTGCTTGTACCAACAACATAGCCGAATATGAAGCTTGTATTGCAGGAATACATGATGCTCTGGATATGAATGTCCGAGATTTGGAGATATATGGTGATTCAACACTAATCATATGTCAAACAAATGGCAATTGGCAAACCAAGGATCCAAAACTTATTCCCTATCACCAATACCTTGAAACTCTCATCAAGAAATTCAGATTCATCTCTTTGAACCATATGCCCCGTGCCAAGAATCAGTTTGCGGATGCTTTGGCAACTTTAGCTTCCATGATCCAAGTCTCCAAGGATGATGTGATTAAGCCTTTGGTGATTGAAATTAGTCAAGAACCGGCACATTGCATGGAAATCAAGGTTGATGACAAACCATGGTTTCATGATATTAAACAATTCTTGCAAAATGGGGAATACCCTTTATATGCTTCTGAGGTGAACAAGAAGACAATCAGAAAATTGGCAGCTTCATACTTCTTGAGCGGAAATACATTGTATAAGCGCTCTGCTGATATGACCTTGTTGAGATGTGTTGATGAAACAGAAGCAAAACAAGTCATGACTGAGGTCCATGAAGGGATATGTGGAACACATGCAAATGGAAGAATGCTTGCTAGAAAAATTCTTCGGACTGGCTATTATTGGTTGACTATGGAACATGATTGCATCAAATATGCACGAACTTGTCACAAATGTCAAATCTATGCTGATCATATTAATGCTCCACCTTCATTACTGCATAATATGTCCGCTCCTTGGCCATTCTCCATGTGGGGCATTGATGTGATTGGGGCAATTAATCCTAAAGCTTCCAATGGTCATCTTGGTCGCTATTGATTATTTTACCAAATTGGTAGAAGCGGCATCTTATGCTAGTGTTACAAAGAAGGTGGTCACTCGCTTCATCAAAAGAGAGATCATCTGCAGATATGGGCAACCAGAGGCCATCATTACTGATAATGCAAGCAATTTGAACAATGACATGATGACTGTGCTATGCAAACAATGCAAGATCAAGCATTTGAACTCTTCTCCATACCGACCAAAGATGAATGGTGCGGTGGAAGCTGCCAACAAGAATATCAAGAAGATTCTAGCTAAAATGGCAGTCACTTACAAAGATTGGCATGAAATGTTGCCATATGCTCTCCATGCTTATAGAACCTCTATTCGCACTTCAACTGGGGCAACACCTTATTCCTTGGTATATGGAATGGAGGCAGTATTACCAATTGAACTAGAAATCCCTTCTATGAGAATCTTATCCGAGTCATGGATTGATGAAGAAGACTTGATTCAGAAAAGGATGGATTATCTCAATTTGCTTGATGAAAAAAGATTGGCAGCTCTTTGTCATGGCCAATGCTATCAATGACGAATGGCAGCAGCTTACAACAAGAAAGTCAAACCTAGAGTATTTCATCAAGGAGATCTTGTCTTAAGAAAGATCATGCCAAATGAAAGGGACCCTAGGGGCAAATTCGCACCGAATTATGAAGGGCCCTATGTTGTTAAAGAAGCTTTCTCCGGAGGAGCACTCTTGTTGAGATATCTAGATGGAACTGATTATCATCACCCAATGAATGCCGATGCTGTCAAAATGTATTATTGCTAAAAAAAAAAAAATTAGGTTGAAAACCCGAAAGGGCGGCCTAACAAATTAAATGTTTCCTTGACTTAGAAAGTTGGAAATCTAATGATGAAAGGCATTGTTTCCTTACCTTAAACAGTTGAACATTACCCTTTTGCTTATCCCTTTTGAGTAAAAAAAGGCAATCATTCAAATTTACAAAAGCCAGAATGATTTTCTTTCTATTAACCCACATTAATGACCGGGGAAGTGAAGAGAGAGATGTGAGGGGAACATATGGATTTTGAGCCTTAATCCTTTCTTTCATCGTAACTTAACCCCAAGCCACGTTACAAGCCCATATGAAAGTCATTATCTGAGGGTTTAAAGCTTTCTTTGTCAAGGTACACAAAAAAAAAAAAAAAAGGGAGCAGTTGCAGTTGGAAACTTCCTTATTCTGAGCACGAGAGTTAGTTCATGAAAAAGGGTTGAAGTGTCAATATTCAGAAAAGGGATGAAATTTTCTCATGGACTAAAAGACTGATGGGCAGAGTTGCAAAAGAAAAGATGATCTGAAGCAATGATTTATGGTTTGAATATCTTGTAACCAGTTGCATCGAAATCTTATATTACTGGCTAGATTTCTTTTGCTATTAAACAGAGTTGACCTTTTGATCATCCTGACCTTGCTTGAATATAGTGAAATGAATCTTTGCCATTATTCTGTTCATATTTTACTCCAACCTTACCTTTTGTTCAGTATTGGGAATACTAGTTAAACATAAGGCTCTATTTCAGTTGATATAATCGTTTTTCTAATCAAAATCTCTTGATTAATCTGAAAGGTTGGATGAGAATTATAGGGAGAAAGGAAGCGGAATTCGATGGCTAAGGAGTCATCCATGCTAGCTGAAACTCCAATAGCAAACGAAAGTTCAACTTATTGGGGCAATATTTTCAGATATTTCTTCATGGGAAACAAATGAGATTCTACCTTTGGCATTCCATAGAGTATTCATGAATATGAATCTACTGAGCTGCTACATAGAGATGATCACAGGTTGATGAATGCACAACATAAAGCACATTTGATTCTCGTCGGATATGGACTCCCAACTTGTTTAGGGAAGTTTCTTAACCTTTCTTCCTTGTTAAGAAACCATTTTTTTACTCGGTTTAAAAACCGTTTTTTACTTGGTTAAAAAACCATTTTCTCGCTCGATTAAAAAAAAAAAAAAACCATTTCTTGCTTGGTTCAAAAACCATTTCTAATCGGTTAAAAAAACCGTCTTACTTGGTTCAAAAACCATTTCTCCATCGGTTAAAAAATCGTTTCTTACTTGGTTAAAAAACCATTTCTTGCTCGGTTAAAAAATCATTTTTGCTCAACTTGCTCGGTCATTTGACCGTAGCAACTTGACTCACTCAGTTAAAAAACCATTTCTACTTGGTTCAAAAACCATTTTCTACTCGGTTAAAAAACTGTTTCTTGCTTGGTTCAAAAACCATTTTTACTCGGTTAAAAAACTGTTCCTTGCTTGGTTCAAAAACCATTTACCGCTCGGTTAAAAAACCGTTTCTTACTTGGTTCATAAACCATTTCCTGCTCGGTTAAAAAACCATTTCTTGTGTGGTTCAAAAACCATTTCTACTCGGTTAAAAAAACCGTTTCTTACTTGGTTAAAAAACCCATTTCTTGCTCGGTTAAAAAACCGTTGCTGCTCAATTGGCTCGGTCGTTTGACCGTAGCCACTCAAAACTAGCTCGGTCATTTGACCGTAGCAACTTGACTCACTCGGTTAAAAAACCATTTCTACTTGGTTCAAAAACCATTTTCTACTCAGTTAAAAAAACCGTCTTACGTGGTTCAAAAAACCATTTCTACTCGATTAAAAAATTGTTCCTTGCTTGGTTCAAAAACCATTTCCCGCTCGGTTAAAAAAACCGTTTCTTGCTTGGTTCAAAAACCATTTCTACTCAGTTAAAAAACCATTTCTATTCGGTTAAAAAATCGTTTCTTACTTAGTTAAAAAACCATTTCTTGCTCGGTTAAAAAACCGTTTCTGCTCAACTTGCTCGGTCGTTTGACCGTAGCCACTCAAAACTAGCTCGGTCGTTTGACCGTAGCAACTTGACTCACTCGGTTAAAAAACCGTTTCTTGCTTGGTTCAAAAACCATTTCTACTCGGTTAAAAAACCGTTTCTTGCTTGGTTCAAAAACCATTTCTACTCGGTTAAAAAATCGTTTCTTACTTGGTTCAAAAACCATTGCCCTCTCAATAAAAAAAAATGTTTGAGTTATTTTTATCTTTTCTTTTCATTCTTAATAGAAAGAAAATGAAAGAGGAGTAATTGTCATAACTCAAATTTTTAATAAGATTTTATTTTATTTTATTTTTACTAATATATTGTTATCTTTGCTTCTATTGTTAGGTT